GCCCTGCCCCATGCGCCTGCCGCCCAGCACAAGCCCCTTTACGCACCCACCACCCCCTGTGCAACACCGCTGCCTGTCATTTTGTGCCCCCTTGTCAGGCTCCTGCGCAGCTGCCCCGCCACAGTCAGTATGAAGTCTCGGCGTGAGCCAGTGCATCAGCACCAGCATCAGCAGCAGCAGCAGCAGCAGCAGCAGCAGCAGCAGCAGCAGCAGCAGCAGCAGCAGGAGGAGGAAGACCACCACCACCACCAGCAGCAGCAGCAGCAGCAGCAGCAGCAGCAGCAGCAGCAGCAGCAGCGCATCGCGAACCCGCAGCACTTCGCGCCACTGCCCACAACGCAATCCGCACCGTCAGCACCCGTCGCAGTCGTCATCAAGCAAGAGCAAGACGCATCAGTCATCGACCCCTCCGCGGCCACATCAGCAACCCACCCGGCAGCAGTACTAGCAGAAGTCGCCGCGCCGTCCCCAGAAGCCGTGGTCGCCGCGGTGGCGGCCCGCGGCGCGCGGCCACTGCGCGCAGCGGGCGGCACGTTGCTCCATGTGCCGCCCGGCTTTGAATTGTTGCAGATCGCGGCCGGCCTGTTTCAGCTGCGACCCATCGGAGCTGCGTTGCAGCGCAATCCTATCGCCATGCAGACAGCGACGCAGCAGGCGCAGCAGGCGCAGCAGGCACCGGGGATGAGCCTGTTTAGTTCCCAGGGCGGCCTCTTCGGCGCTGTCGGCGCCGCGCGGGCGCTGCAGAGCGCGCCGCTGCTGCCGCGCGCCCCGCAGCTCAGGCTCGGGCCCGCGGGGCGCCTGCTGGGGGCGGGGCCGCAGCAGCAGCCCCTGGCCTGCGAGGAGGTGGCGTCCTGCACCACCAGCGCCGCCGCCGGCGCGCCGCGCGCCCCACTAGCAGATGCGGGGACAACGGCGGTTGCGATATTTGCGGACGGGCGCGCGACAGCGGCTGTTGCAAGGGGGCAGGGGGCCCGCAGGCGTGGCTCCTCTCAGCGCTTCAGGTGTGAAGAAAAGGCTGCCATGTCATCACAGCGGGCTGCAGAGCACGTGCGGCGAGCGCGTCAGATGTTCCGCGCTGGGTCCCCGCTTATATCGCAGACGCGTGGCGCAGCCGCCACGCATCGATTGCTGGGTGCCGCTGCGTCTCATCGTCAGCCCATGCCTGCACCTGTCAATATTCATTCCTTCATCTGAGAACACGAATGCACTGCGTCCCAAAAGGCCTCATGGCGGCGGCCGCCCAAACCCCCCTGTGCTCGCTGCTCCGCACTCCAGGGCGCGCCAGAAGTCTCTGATTGCAGAGCTGGAGGGTCAGGTGGGGCCGCGGCGCTGCTGCGGCGGGGCCGCGCCGACCCAGCTGCCCTGTTTTGCTGCACTCCGGCTGAACCTTCGCGTGCCGTGCACGGCGGCACCCACCGTCGGTGCCAGCGACAGCATGCGGGGGCCCGGCCTTAGGCAAGGTCCCGCTCCCCGACTGAAGAGCCCTGCAGTCAGCACTCTCCGACGCAGCCTCGCCACGCTGATACCTTCCCTCTGCTGGAAAGCTTGCCCCAACCGCCCGTGCCACATCATCAACCTCACCTCACTTTCACATTCGTTAATTCAACTGTTCTCCAGCCCTGGCCTACTCGCTCCTGAACTGCACACACTCTCCACACCCCTGTCACCCCCCCCACACACGCTGCATGGCCGGACTCCGTACCCCTTCACTGCAGGTCCTGGGTCGCCTGTCAGAATGCGAGCAGCTGACCGCAGAGAATAACGCGCTGCGTGTGCGCTGCAGCATACTGCAGTGCGCGGTGCAGGGGCAAGAGGAGCACGTGAGGGCCAGCAGCTGCTGCGCACATGGCGAGCGCGACGGCGCCGTGTCTGCTTGCGCCCGCCGGGGCCGAGGGGGTGGTGGTGCGTGACTGGGCAACGCGTCCCTGGCAGACCAACCCCTGCACATCTGTGACAGAGCGTGTGTGTTGTTTCGTCATGTTTGTCATCATACGCATACTGTGCCCGCAGATCAGGATTATGGATTCCTACGGAGTCAAGTGGCCCTTCACACGAGAGCCTGCCGCGGCTGTGGCTGGCGCCCCTGGGGGCTGCGCGCCTGGCCGCCAAACGCCCGCCTGCACGCCCGGCGCCGCCTTTCCAGCTGCTGACGCGCCAGACGCTGACGCGCAAGGCGCAGGGGCCGCAGCAGAAACAGGGCGCACGGGCCTGCTGCAGGCCGCCGGAGGTCATACAGCGGCGGCAGCTACTGCGGCGGCAGCGGCGGCGCCGTCATCAGCAGCAGCAGGAGCGGCCACGGCGGCCTGGTCGTGCGGCGTGGCACCAAGCGGCATCCAGAGCCCGGGCCGGGCTGGCTCTGCCCCTGCCCCTGCTGCATCTGGCCTGCCACCTGAGGCAGGTGCTCATGGTGTTGGCGGCAGCGGAGGTGGCGGCGGCGACAGCCGCAGCGGTGGCGTGCAGTTTGTTGACGCCGTGAAGGCGCTGCGATCCGCAGACGTGGTGGCAATCTGGCAGGGGTTTGTCCAAGCAGCTTCCAGGCAGCTTCTAGCGGCGCATCAGGAGGCGGACGCGGCGGCAATGAGGTCGGCGTGGGCGCTGGGCGATGCTGGTGGCGACAGCCTGGGCGGGAGGTGGTTGGGCCGGCACCGGCCGGCCGGGGCTGGCGAGGGCGGCGGCGGCGGCGGGATCGCGGATGGTGGTGATAGCACGCAGCAGCAAGAGCAGCGGCGGCAGGGCCAGGCGCTGGAGTGCCTGCAGGCGCTGGTGGCGGAGCACATCGTGTGAGCGTCCTCGCATGGGTTCACTAAACCCATGCACTCTGCCGAGCCCACTCACACCCCGGGGGACCCTGCTGTTGAGTTGAGCGCCATGGCCACAGGGTCGGTGGCCTCCCCTCTGTTCTTCCCGTTTGGCAACCTTAGCTAAGTCCTGTGTCGTGCGCGCTCTCTCATCCCTGACTCACCGGCAACACACCCTGACTGACGTGCATCCTCCCTGTCCCTCCGGCGCCCCGCCCCCCCTCTCAATGCTGCCACCATGACTAACCTCAGGGTGTTCAAGTGCGTCATCCTGCTGAACCCTGGTGAGCCACCCCAACCTTGCTTGCACTCACTCGGCCTGCAATGCTGCCCCTTGACCGGGTGGAGCCATCAAACGCGGCGCATTGCGCGGCAGCAACACCAAGCATGCACCCATTGCCGGGGCCAAACCTCCTTGATCCTGCCAATCGTGGCGATCAAAGCGCTGCTGGGACCTCCTTGAATCGGCCCGCAACCCCTTGCTTGCAATGCCGTCTCGCGAGGCTTGCAGGTCGATCTAACGGGGGGCGCCGCCGCGGCACCCCGGTCAACCCTGCATACGCCAAAGGCCCACTCCCACCCCCACCCGCGCTGCGCCGCGCCCCGTTGGGCTGTGGCTGTGACAGCCATCCTTAATCTCCGCCAAAGCCACCTTGAACCGCGTCGCATCCCACCTTCACAGCCCCGCCACGCGATCCCGCCTCCCCACCTCAGGAGCCGTTTACCCTATAGCCGGCCTCAACCTGGAGACAGGGCGCCCCCAGGAAACCTCTGACGCGTTCTGGCGCCGCGCTGCGTCACAGCTCGCCCTGCGGCCGGCTCAGGTACGGGTGCGCGCTGGCGTCTGCCCCCCCCCCCGCATGTGCGTGTGTGCGAGGGCGAGCACGGCTTTTTTCTTCTCATGCGGGCCGGCCGTATCCCATGGACCGAGCTTGTGTGTTTCCCAGCGATCAGAAATCGTTGTTGTCTGCTTGGCAGCCTGGGTACCACGAGCGCTGCAGGGTGCTGCAACCGCGACCTGTGAAGGGCAACTGATTAGTCAATTTGACTTGCATCATTGCGCACCCGCCTGCGCCGCGACGGCCCACGTTGTATCCTGCGGAACCATCACCCGCCTGCGCCGCGACGGCCCACGTTGTATCCTGCGGAACCATCCAAAATAACTGCCAGGTGGAGGCTGTCGTGGCGGTCTACGAGCTCTACTCCCGGCATGTGGCCAAGTGGGTCGCCTGACATGGACAGAATTAATGCAGCACGCAGAATAAACAATGACGCCTGGGTGACGGCGAGCAAGCAGCTGCGGGTTCTAATGCTGAGGCCTGCTTTGGGATCAAATACACCCTCTCCCAGGACCTAGCACTCCCTCTCAGGACCTAGCACTCCCTCTCAGACCTAGCACTCCCTCTCAGGACCTAGCACTCCCAGGACCTAGCACAGCGGCCCTCCTCGCCCTAGTTGCACTCCTTCGATTTCCCGAAGTACACACGGCCGATTCTGCCGCTCGCCCCCTCACCGCAGAGCGCTGTCGGAGCAAGCTAGGCTGCGGGTGCATTTGGGCCTTTTGCAGCCAGCAACCGGGCGCGACCAGCGGTGAGCGCCAGGGCTCAGGCTGCGACGACGCGGTTCCACTGGACACGGCAGACTGCGAGCTGCCGGCCCCCCCGGCAGGCGGCGGCAAGGCGGCCTGTGGGCCCGGCAGCGGCGGCGGGCCCGCTGATTGGGCGAGAGCGGCTGCTTGCGCGCGCTGCTTGCACAGGCGGGTTTCAGCGCTGATCCTTGTTATGTGCAGCAAAGGTGTTGACCGGAGAGCCTTGCAGACAGACCCTCGCTAGTGGATATATAGGGGAAGAGGTATCCCACGTGCCTCACCACACCGCACAAACACGCATTGCTACCCACCAAACGGCCCACCCGCATTCGCCCCTCCTGCTCCCCTGGACTAGGGGTGCGGCCATAGCGGCCACGGAGAATGCAGACGGCCTGGGCTGCAGCTTTCGCAAGCGCCATGCCCTGAGGTGAGAGGGCACGTCATGACGCTCAGCGAGGCTCTCTGCCATTGGGTTCCTCTGTTGTGCAGCTGCACGACCTGCCCGTCAAAATGAGGCTGATGCAAAGTGCCATTCAGTAGCCGCTTGAGTGCTCGCATGCGGCCTCTCTGCCGGCTGGCTCGCTATCCAGTGCCATACCACACATCCCTGAAGCTGCCAAGCCTACCAAGCACCCAACCGGAGCTCAAGCCTCTGCCACGCCGCGGTTCACATGTTCGCCTGCCTCCTCTGCCGCGCCGCGCCTGCCTGCCGCGCCTGCGCCGCACGGGCCTGCCACGCCCCTAAAAGTATACCTTAAACCCTCAACTCCGCACGCCGCGTGCGCCGCAGGCTGATGCTCTGCGCCCTCGTGTTTGGCGGCGTGCTGGACGCGGCGCAGCTGGCGCGGGCGGCCGTGTTCTCGTACCCCCTATTCCCAGACGTGAGCAACACCAGCACTGTCGATTTCCTGCAGTTGTCTGCAATTCTCATGATTGGTTTTGGGTCAGGTTTTAGGGTTTGGGGCCGAATCGACCCGAGGCAACCCATGCAAAAGGGGGGCGGGGTGGAGTGTGCAGCGCCACGACGGGACGGGGCCTTCGGGGAGTGAAAAGAGAGGGGTCCTTGTAGGTTGCTTATTCACAGGGCCAGTGCGCAGCCACAGGGGGGATGTACGGCTCCCACCCACGAGCACTGGGGCTGGCCCACCTGGGATCCGACGCCTGTGAACAAGGGCAGTACAGTCCGCGCACTTTTGCCTTTATGGAAAGCTGTCGTCGCCAACGAAAAGGACCCGAGGCATGCCGCTAAACCCGTACTAGCCAAATCTGCACTAAACCCAAACCCTAGACCCTGAAACCTCAACCGTGCCCCAAACGGCCAAACGAATCAATTCCAAGTAAAGACTGACAAACGCCCCCACCCCCTTGCCCCATTTTGCTCCCCAAAGGTGACGGCCATCACCCGCGTGATTGCAGAGGACGCAGCAACACTTGCCCCGCCGCCCGCTGCCTGCCGCCGTTCCACGTCTGGACACCCCTAGCGGCGCCAGCACAGCGCCGCGTGTTTGCGCGGGGTGCCGGCCACTGTGTGCCCCACGGGCCTCGGCTGCAGGCAGGCTGCTGGTGGGGCCGGTGGCTGGATCATGGTAGGCAATGAGAGCCCCATGATGGGGATCTGGGTGTAGGTTTTAGGGTGTCGGGGTGCGAGCACCATTGACGAGCACTTGGAACAACGGCTGCTCTCGCGCGGCCCGGGACGTGGGGTGGGGAGCTGACGTGGATTGTTGTGTGATGCAGCGCGGCACTGAACTGGCGGCACGGCCCCTCATTTCAACCGCGTGCGAGATGATCTCCCCTTGTTTGCAGACAGGCCCTTGCGCCTCGCGCGTTTTCTTTAGCGGTGGGGATCGACCGTACCTGCGTTGCGCGCGTATCGTTGGCGGTGACCCCCGCCCCCCTGCAACATTCAGTGGGTTGCTGGCGGTGCCAGGTCGGCGTTGACATGCCTTGACCTGTTGCATCAGATTGTGGTGTGCCCCTTGCTTCGCAACCCCCCTCGGCCGTTCCGTGGAGTCACCCTTCACCATCTGGTCTGGTTTGGATGGGACACTTGGGGCCCACGTGCATAGGCGGACCTGGTTGATTCGTTTGTCTAGATCTTACACACTGCATGTTGGATCGCGACTTTTGGGTATCCCTGCCTCTGCCCTGCCCCCATTTCTGCTCGTGGTTTCTCAAGGCCAGCAATGCTGCCACTTGTTGCTGAGGGGTGCGCCGCCCCTTTTTGCACCCTGCACACCATCACCGGCGGCTGGCATTGCTCACACCGCTTCACCCAGCACTCGCCCCTGCCACCTGGCCCCACCTGACTCGTTCAGACTGGTGCGTACCCCCTGCTCCCTGCCCTTCTGCCGGCAACTCCTCCTGGCGGCTCGTACACACGACTCACCTGCCAACAACCTCCTGCCCCCAGGGGGCGGAGCTGCCGCCTCGCGGCCCTGAGGCCGGCGAGCTGCATGTCCCATGAATCACTGCCCTCTTGTACAGGATGCCCACAAAGCTTGCCGACGGCGACCCCAGAATTCAGAGCCCCCTGTGGCTTGCAACACGGGGGTGTCACACACGAGCCAAGGGCACCTAGGTGTAGACACATGCAGATCGTATTTCTATTACAGTCGCACTTGATTTGCAGGTCTTCTTGCAGCAGCTGTGATGCTGGTTGATGAATGAGTAAATGACGACTCTCCTGTACTAGCCCTAAAGGGACTTTGAAATGTCAGGTGCCGCTGACTTTGGCCCGACGGCCCTTCCTGGGGCGTGCTGGCTGCTGCGTCTCCTGTGCGTCTCCTGCCTGCTGCTGCTCCTGTCCGTCTGCCATCTCATGCTGCTGCTGCTGCTGCTGCTGCTGCTGCTGCTGCTGCTGCTGCTGCCGCTCCTGCTGCTGCCCGCCGTCAACGCCTTCGCCCTGCGCACCCGCGTTGGGCGCCCTCTTGTAATCCACCAAGACCGGCAGATCTGCTGCAGACAGGACAATGCGCCCCGCCCCTGGCGCCCCTGTGGCGCCGTTGCCCCCGCCGCCGCCACCACCGTCGCCGGCGCCGCCCCCTGTTATGCCCCCTGGCCGCACCTCGCAGGATACCGCCACAATGATCACCCCTGCTTGGTGTGTGCCACAGAAAATTGTGTGTCTGAGTGTGAGTGCATGCATGTTGGTGTGGGTGCAATGTGTGTGCGCATACGGGTGAGAGTGTGGTGTGGGTGCGTATGTTGGCATGTGTGTGTGTGGGAGGGGGGGATGTGCTTGATCAGCGAACTGCAGCTGAAGTGAGCGCAGGCAGCTGCTTGGGTCAGCCTTGCCAAGCTCGTTGAATCGCCGGCAGCCCCCAGCCGCAGCCGTGCTGCAACAGCCGCGCCCTGTTGCTGCCGCAAGAGACGCAAGTCCACGAGCTTAGCCTGTGTACAACTGTCTAGCCGGCCGGCTGTGCAGCAACTTTGATTGACTTTCTGAAAACGATGCGTTGCATACAATGGAGCAGCCTTGCGCCTGGGGGTGCTGGCGTCAAGCACTCAACACAATCACCATGCAGCTCACCGCAGGGCGCCAAGCCCACTGCACCGCCCCTTGAACCCGCGCCACCCTTGGAACAAAGGCGGCAGCAAAGCCTTGGCCCTAAACCTAACATCAAAACCCTGCCCCGCCCCTGCTTTCTGACCCCGCCCTGCTCGCCTGCCCCTGCGGCGCGGCCCACGAGCTCTGCGTATGCCGGGTCCTTCTGGTGGGCCGGCGCGAAGGCGGTGACGTCACTGCGCTGCACGACAAACAGGCAGGCCGCTTCATGACCGGCGGCGGCCAGAGCGGTGAGCTCCTGGAATTGGAAGTCGAGAGGTCAGGGGGCGAGCGGGCGGGCGGTCAGGCGGGGCGCTTCTGTCGCCAAGCCAAATTTGATCAAATGAATTCACAAGCTGGGTGCCGTGCAGGCGCGCAAACAGAGGCCCGGCGGGCGCGACGCTGGTAGAGCCAGGCGCGCGCGAGCGACCCGCGCCGCCTGCTTGAGTTGTGGTGTGGAACGCTACCTGCCGCCGCTGTGCCTGGGTCCCTGGCGCTCCCTTTCCAGCCTCTTACGTACCCCTTCTCAAGCCGCCGCTCCGCCCGGCCTTTCCTCCCACCCCACACCTCGTCCTGCACCCCCGCTCACACACCCACGTGCGTCTCACACACACACACGCGCGCGCACACACACGCACCCGGACATGGCGCTGAGCCCTTTCGCTGACTGTGTCAGGGAACAGAGCGATTCGCCCCCGCGTCTCCCCCGGCGCCGCCGCCGCCGCCTCCGTGGCCCCAGACGCCTTCACAGCCGCGCCGTCCGCCGCGCCGCCGCCCTCCCCAGCCGCCGCCCGCTTGCGCCCGCGCTTGGCGGTCCCCGCCTTTGCCGCCGCCGCGGCGGCGGCGGCGGCCGCAGCAGCCGCGCCCGTGAGGCCGTGCGCGTGATCTGGCTCAAAGGGCTCTGCCAGGGTCACAGATTTGACCTCTAGATACACTTTGCCGCCGTTCGGACGCGTCAAGACAAAGTCGACGCGGCTGGCCGGGGCGGCTTTGCCGCGCTTGGCGGCGCTGCCCGGCTCTGCCGCCGGCTGCAGCTGAGGGAGCGCGACCTGCGCGGGCGACATCCGTGTTGTTGCAGCCAGGCGCTTGAGCGCTTTGTCCAAATCGCGTGCACTCAAGCGTGTCGCGCGGTGCGAGTCAGTGCATGGTGGCAGCAAACGAAGGGTGTTGCAAGGCTTTTTATTGATTTGACTTGATTGCCGCCCACCTCTCGCTGTATGGAGGTGTACTCCCCGAGCTGCGGCAGCGCGCGGCGCTCCAGCAGCGCGGCGGCGAGCGTGTTGGCGAGGGCGCTGTGGACGCCGACCAGGGCACCCCCCGGGCTGCCCTCCTGCGCAACCGCACGCGTTGCGCAAGGGGCAGGTCAGCAACCAAGCGAACGGCAGGTGGGCCGTAGCTCCCTCGCCAGGCAGTTTCTCTCATTGCCACATCACTTTTTTGATGTAGAACACTAGTGGAGCACAGCGGCAGACGGCGGCGCATGGAAACAGGGAGGGCACTGCCAGCTTACAAAACAGGCTCCGAAAACTGTCAATCCGGCAACTGCAGAGGCGGGCTGGGGCCGAGAAGGCCAGCCGACAAGGAAGAACTGGCATGGCAAGGCAAATGCGAGCTGCCCTTTCAGCTTCAGCCGCAGGGCAGGGCTTTGTGCTGACCTGGACGAGCTCTAGGGTGTGGGGGTACTTGCGTGTTGCGGCGGCCGACTGGCTGCACCAAGCGGCCGCCGGCAGCCTGCGCAGGGGGGGGGG